TTCTTTCTTAATCTTATAGGTGCACTGCATGAGATCACCTATGAAGGAATTCCAAATGTGGTATGAAGTATTTGCAAACAATGCCATCGCTTGAAGCAAAAGTACATCGCAAGCCACTGATCACAGCACATGACAGCTCAAGAGATGAATATATATTATAATATTGACACACAAGATATATCATCTCTAAACTTGTGGAATTAGCAAGACCTCAAGACTGAATAAAAATTACATGGAACAAGATGACAGCCAACTCTTGTCAATCAGACCTCAACCACCCCCATAACCCCCCACAAGGCACTACATATGTACGCCACCCTTTCCAACTATCATCTCCTCAACTTAGCTTTCACATATCAAATTCAAATTAACCTTACCCTGAAAACAATCAATCATTGTGCAAGGCACCAATAAACGACACCTCTCAGGTCACCTCATAATTTCTTGATCTCTTAACATTGTTTGAACTATCAAACGATAGCTCAAATTTTTGTCTAAACAAACTCATCCAAAAACTTCAGACACACCTCTATCTACCCCTCTCATTTGGGAAACGCTAACTTTGTGTGGCCTCGACAACAACATTAAGTCCTCAGTCACGTGCACCATCCTTTGATAAATTTGGGACTCTGAAAATGTGGCGGCTTTCGGGGGCGAGATCCACCCCCTGCCTACTACTATTAGCGATTTTTATTGCTCATTAGCAACACTATTTCACAACCAAACAAACATTCTTTTAATATATTTTTCGTGAACATTTAGGTTTAAGCAACCTAGTCAGAAGGTTGCCATCATGTCTTCGTGTGTCTTTCCTCGCGCTCTGGCGCAACTATGTGACTTTGGCCAATTTATTGACGCCTTTGAGTAATATATTCTAGTTGGAATCCTCTTCCCTCGGTGATTGTTAAAAAAACTACAAACACATGCAGCGAGCTCTTAATTAACCTTTCCTCAAAAAAACTCTTAATTAACCTAGGCCGGATCAGTTGACAGATATCCATCCCTGCATAAACTACAAGTGTCTCTCACTCTCGTCAAATAGAAAAGAGTACTCAGTATAAAATACAGAAAAAGAAGGCTTCAAGTATGGCAAGAATGAGCAGTACAGGCATGCAAGCGACAGCTAACATGACAATTTGAATGGTCAACATAAGCAAGAGCCCTAGATTTGGGCAAGAATAGTAAAGAAGAACAGTTTTTTAGGGAATATAATTTTGGGTTGCTCTGACCTGTGAGTGATGCACAGGAATCAGATTTGTGTTTTGGCCACAGCCGTATAAATTGCTGTCCTCCTGTCCCTTTGGTCAAGATTGTGTCCTACTGTCATTGTCGACATTCACAAGACATGGCGCAGTGTTGAATACAGTGCAAGTCACAGTCCCTGTGAATTGACAAGGCTAAATTAGATCACTGTCCTCTGATTCCAACAATCCCAGTTGCTCCACTTGTATCTTTGTGCATTATGAACCTGGTTTATTTCTTGGAGTAAGTAACAAATGGACAAATAAACACATATGTTTATTTAGCATTATTTTCCTTCCCTCAACTCTTCCGAAGGTTCTTTTTTAGTCCATTATCATTTTTTCTACATAGCTTTTTTTCTAAGAGGACTCTAATCTATTATAGAGTTTCATCAAAAGTACAAAGTAACCCAAACATAATAAAAGTTACATCAAGGTTCATGAACCATCGCATGATCATTGTCGCTGCTAGAACGAGCCGCCAACACGCCGTTGTCGCCGCTCCCATACTGGAGCCGGCCTGACCTAACAGTCAGAAAGTCTTTGTGCACGTGTCCCTAAGGACCGGTGCTCTGGAGCCATAGTCGTCGTTGTTAACCCTTGAATCAGTCCGAAGACCAAACACCAAATGGCATCATTCCGTAAGCATGACGAGAAACCCTAAACTCGTCTCCCCGAGGAGTTAGCAGGAATCTTTGTTCTTCCATCTTCCCAAACCGGACAAACTTGGTCCATCCTCAACCGGAAGCGATACTTTCGCTCACCAGACATGGGTTTTGACCTAGCTTTTCTTACAACTCTCCACTTCAGCTTGTTCTTCCCATGGTTCTTCAGTAATATGTAAAGCTCATGTGTGCCATCATGGACGAACATGTGCTAGGTTGGGTGAAAAACAATGGCATGTAAGTAAGGATACCACTTCGAATGGGGCAAGGAGTCAAGTTTGTCCGGTTTAGAAAGACGTTGAACCAAAGGTGAAAACCCAAAAATAAACTTTCCAAACAGTTGACGGACCAAAGACATACTTGTCTACCTTTATAAACAAAACCCGTTACTTAATCACCAAATAAAAAAAGAATGCTCATTACTGTTCTTGGAGAAAATTGCAAAGTAATTATTTTACATTTTAGACATTTGCTTAGAGGTCATATCTGCTTGATCTTACCTCTAAGTAGTGTATTGTTTTGCAAACTGGGTGTAACTCAGATGGTTAGGTTTCTTGTGGTAAAACCAAACCATGAGCGTTCAAGTCCTAGACTTGGCACTGGTGCTCCCATTTTTTGAATTTATTTCAGACTTTTTGCGACGTTCGGTAGGTGGTAGAATACATTCCCGTCAACTACAAAGACGTTTTTTTTTTGCGGAAAACTACAAAGACGTTGTTGGTGATTTCATCAATCTCTCATAGGTGTAAGATGTGTGTACGTGCGTTTATAGAGATGAGTGTATATGCATGTATGTGAGCACCTGAGTATGTACTTCGTTTGTTAAAAAGAATACTGTTTTGCCTTTGCCTCTAAACACAAGTGGCACGAGTACTGTTTTCCGAACTTATGTTTTGTCGCTAATTATAATTTGTGCGAGTTGGTTGGGGTTAGAGGAGACCCAGGCCCGGCGCCCCGGCCTAGCTACTACCGATTCTTTCCTGCCTGGCCCGGGTCAAAGGGGGACGGTGGGCCCACCCGACGTGGCCGTATCCAATCGCCTCGGCCCCCCACCCCGCACGTGCTCTGTTTGCAGAGGCATTTCTCTCTTCTTCCTCGAGAAACAGAGTCATTGCCTATTTGAACACAGGAGGAAAAGCTTCTTTCCCTCTCATTCTCATCAAAAGGGAAAAAAATGAGGAAAAGCTTCTGTTCTTTTCGATGATCACGAACGTACGACCGTTCTTTCAGTGTCTGCCGGGTCCATCGGCGTTCACCACCTGCTGAGGCTCAGCAGCGTCCCATGTTTTCTTTTCGTTTCCAGTTTCTTTTGCGCGTGCGACTTCCCGTGGAAACATCTGTTATTTTATCCGTTCAGTATCCGTCGATGCATTCCTCCATACGTCTGACTTAAGAATTACAGTACTTAGGAAGAAATTACGGACCGATTATGTACAGCCTGCCTGGAAAAATAATATAATTTATTTTTGCCCTAACTCCTTCCCCTCTACGCCGCCTCCCACGGTGTTACAGTGCACCTCTCTACCCTACCCTTCCGGAG